GGGACACTGCTGAAAAGCAGTAATTCCTCATAAGGAGATGAAGGGCTGAGTTCTGGGGCCAAGTATGAGAATTGGAAGCAAGGGTCTGATACAAGGAATACTTAGAATGTTGCACCATTTCTTTTTCTTTTGTCCTTCTAACTCACATGACTTCCCCCTGCCCCCCATCTGTCTTCCAAGTTCTTTTCGTTCTGTACTGCTATGGGATACTGATTTCTATTCATCTAGAGCTCTCACAGTTCCTCCCATCCCTTTCACAGGTGACTGGTCAGGCCTCCAGGCCCTGCCTCTGGACCAGGCAGTGTAGAAGGAAGCATTTGCTGGGAAACAATGACCAGGACCCAAAAGGGAAAGACCATTCTCCCCCACCGTCTCCATCAGCCTTTCCCCCCACGGCTGGGATGGGGCATGATTTTCTACTTAAAACCAAGAGGCAAGGAGGAGTGCACCTCCGTCTCCGGCGAGCTGCCAGCCTTTCACTTCAGCCCACAGCACTGTGCACACCTCAAGAACCAATATTTGAAAAACGCTGCTTCAAACCTTACCTTCTCTCAGGAGGTGGTGTGGCAGCGGGGGCTGCCCAGCATTCCTTACAGCCAATACCGCTTTGACCATCTCTACAATGCAGACAACATTATCCAGCCTTTCCACATCAGGAAGACCCGACCTGAGAAACCTGTCAGCTTCAAGGTCTTAGATTCTTCAGGTCCCTCAGCAAGGATCACCTCCACAGCTGTCAAGACAGACAGTTCTGCCAATCTAATGAAGCTGAAGAAATCAAAGTCAGCACGCGCAGTCCGGGAAACAACACGTCCTCTCATCCTTCGTCCCTGCAGGGATCCAGATATGTTGAGTCTGTCGCTTTCTCCAGATGTGAGCCTGGAGGAGAGGGAAACCTGGCTTCCCCCTTCTGAGAAGGAGGCCAGAGTCTGGGAGGCCATCGTGCTGGAAAAGCTGAACAAGCGCACGGCCCGGTGGATCCAGAACAAGCGTCCGCTAAGGCCTGGGGCGTCCCCCAACAAGTGGCAGAGCTTCTTGCACCAGCAATACGACTGGAGCCACATCCGGGATGAGCTCACTTCCGCCAGTGACCTGGAGCTCCTGAAACAGCTGGAGGAAGAAGAGATTGCAGATTTAGAGCATCCAAGTGTCATCCTGCCCACTCAGGAAAAAAAGAAGCCAGAGCTGCTGCTTTCTGCTTATTATAGGTAGACTCGCTGGGCCTCAGACATGCCTTTAAGAATCCCTGGCTCCCCATCAAGGAATCCCGGGTGGACCCACACTCATTTCAGAAAGCACTCTCCCATCAACTCTTGTTTCCCACCACCACCTGCTCTCTAAGATCTCCATAAAGTTTCTCATAAAGTTTCTCAGCCTAGGCACTATTGATATTCTGGGCTGGATAGTTCTTTGTTGTGGGGGGCTGCCCTGTGCATTGTAGAATGTTTAGCATCATTCCTCTGGATGCCAGTAACACTCTAGTTGTGACAACCAAAGATGTCTCCAGATATTGACACATGTCTGCTTGAGGGACAAAATCGCTCCTCGTTGACAACCGTTGCCTTTAAAGGGATTGGTTGTCAGCCTTTCCTTTCTGCTAATCCTATCCATGTGTTCTCAGAAATGTATCCATTGTGAGAATGAGAAAGGCAGAGCCCTCATGGCTTTGAGGTTTGGTCCTGCCTAACTTTGAATAGGAGCCAGCATGTCACTGACTCAAAAATTGACTGGCAGGAGGACAGAGAAATAAACAACCTGAGAGAAGAGGATTACTGAATTTCTCAGATTCCTTCCTTCTCATTTATAGCTAGAGGGAAGACTAGAGCTATGATAATATCTCTGATTACCAAAAGTGAACTGAAAGTAAGTGGAGGGCCGGCCAGTGGTGGTGCGATGGTTAAGAACT